CAACTCTGTGGTCCTGTCCCCCATTAGTGGCCACCTGACATTGCTGCAAGTTGGTTGCCCTTGTCTCTTACCAGGTCTGGTGCCCTGGCTCAGCTGAGCTCTGTAGACAGTCTGGGAGAATTGGGGCACCTGGTCATTCTCATCCTTCACATGCACAATTATAGACTGTGGGCCCCACAAGATACGTCCATCATCACTCTCCAGGGTGGTCTGGCATGAAAGAGCAGTCAGTGCCCAGCCCTGCCTTGATGACTGTCCCCTCTATCTCATCTGGCCATACCTGTAGCTGGTACTCTGCCTTTTCCTCTCGGTCTAGGGCTCTGGTTGCCAGCAGGAAGCCAGAATCTGGATCCACAGCAAAGGGGACTTCAGCTGCCACATCTGAGCTCTCTGACAGCACAACGTGGCTTCCAGCCTCCTTGAGGGGCACTGGTAGCTGGGTGAGAGCAGAAGCAAAAGGAGTAGGGACCAGGCTTAGATATGTCTCTTATCTAACAACCCCATTTTATATGTGGGGAAAGTGAGCCTCGGAAGGGGGTTGGCACTTGCCTGAGGCTCAACAAGCAATGGGAGTAAAAGCCTGAGTTTCTGCTTTACCCGATGTGTGTGTGTGTGTGTGTGTGTATGTGTGTGTGTGTATGTGTGTGTGTGTATGTGTGTGTGTGTGTGTATGTGTGTGTGTGTGTGTGTGTGTGTACTGAACTTAGGATGTACTGAACTTAGGACACACAAGCTGTTCCTTAGCGTTTTTGCCCCAGTCTAGCCATATCTCCACTTCTGACTTTTTGCTGGTTAATTGGAGATAAGAATCTCAAGGCTTTCCCACTTAGGCTGACTTCAAACCACAATCCTTAGATCTGAGCCTCCTGAGTAGCTAGAACAGGCATGAACCATTGGCACTCAGATTTTTCTTTTTTAATACTGGATCTCTCTGTGTAGCCTAGGCTAGCTTTTACTTGCTGACTCAGCATCGTAATTACAAATGTGTGTCACTATACCCAGCACCAATATTTCATTCTGAAATTCTCTAGGACTAAAGTCATGTTATTCATGTTATAACACATATTCTCTGGGAAGCAGGATCCAAAAGAAAGCCAAAGTAAGAAAGAAGATGGGAGCTGGAGGTAAGAGGCAGACTTGAAAGAGTGGGACTTGGGGATTACTCACTCAGCTCTTAGGCTCACCTTGACCAAGTACAAAGGGAAACTTCCACCATAGTTTTCAGGGACTTCCACATGCAGCTCCGCAGCTTGGGCCTTAGCCTGTGGGAGAATTCTACCTTGTCCCAGGCTCTGTCTTCCTGCTGGGACCTGGTAGGAAAGGAAATTTCTCCCCCTTCCCTAGGCCTGGTCACACCTCAGTCCATCTACCCTCTGGCCTTTGACCTCCTGCAGACAGCAGGCCTTCAGTCCTAGTTCTGAATCTCTACCTCTACACTATTTCCACGGTCAATATCGTTGGTCCAGGTAAAATTGGAGACAAAGGTGCCAACCACCCCTACTACCAAGACCTGAAGTAGGAGGAAGGGCCCAGCTTACCTGGGAACTGGAGAGGCAAAGCAGCCACAGCCAGGCCAGGGCCATAATCAGGATGGGCCTGAGGGATATGGAAGTGAAGACCCAGCCCAGATGGATGGGAAGAGGGGTTCCATCCCATAAACACAGCCAGAGGGATCTCCTGTAGATCTGCATCCTCTTCTTCCCCTAAGGGCGGAAGCTTTCTGTTTCAGGCAGAAAATGGTTCAGCTTCTCAGCCAGACTCAGCAAGATTCCTGGATCCAGTCACACAGACTCTTAGCTCTTGACCCTACAAAGTTTTTTAGGAGTCCCACCTCCAAAACCTCGTCTCCTTCTTGCGGTAACCTCCCCAGCCTATCAATCCCAAAGCGATCATTCCTAAAAGCTCCTCCACATCACAAATATTGGAAACTGGAGAGACCATTTCTTGCAGTGGCATGTTGTAGGCAAGTCCTGAAGGGCAGGGCCTGGCCAAGGTCACAGAGGACTTAAGTACCAGAGGTTTCCTCCTGGAACACAAGACTCCTGACTCAAGCTTGGAGATTGTCCTACTCACAACTGCAACTTTCAAGACAGAGTATCTGCCCTCGTCTTGGCATTTTCCAACTCCTAGCATATAGCCGAGCACACAGAGTATTGGCAACCACTCCATGATGGATCCCTGGGAATTATTCTCACACAAAAAGAGGGCGGTGTCCCCTTACCCCCCACCCTGTCTTCACCCTAGTCCACCCATGCCCTCTCAGCCCCTCACCCACTGGTGCCAAAGGCGACTCTTTTGGTCCAGCTGCCAGGAAAGAGGGTTCCTTCTCCAGGGAGCTCGGGCAGGTTGGGCTGGGTGGAGCAGAGCAAGGTGGACACTTGAGCAGGTAGGCGGTCTAGGCATACTTGGTCAGGAGTGGAAAACGCCACTAGGCCCACAGCAGCCAGCCTGGCCCCGCCCAATCCCTCCCCCCCCCACTTCCCCACCAAGTTACTCATTGACAGTGAAAAGCTAGGACTGCTCAATGTCCGTGACTGCCAGCTCCAGGAGGTGGGCAGACCATTGGCCTGGCACTCCCTCCACCTGACACAGTCCAGTGGGCACTCCTTGGCCCCCTGGGCTTGAACATTACTTCTTTTTCTGTTACTTCAGACTTGGTTTCATTTCTCCCCTGTAGGCCCAGGACTACAGTTACACCTTGTACATGCTGTTCCTGGTACCTGGAATGCCCTTCCACTGTCCATCAGTGAGGTACCTACTCATGCTTCAGTACTCAGCTCAAAAAGACACTATGCTCATAGACTGGATTGGAGGCCCCTCTGGTAATGCTCCCATCTCTCACCATGTGCTGCCTCTACTCATTCGCGGAGGACACAAGCTTGTCTTCCATTCATTAGGCTCAGGGTTCCAGCCATGACCTGGTCCTTGCCCTGCTCCAGCAGCACCCAACTAGTTCATAGAGAACTAAGACAAGGACTTCAGATTTCACCTTAATGGCACATGAGAAATGTGAGTATTAGGGCTTAAGACCATCCATCAGTGGGACCAAGGGGTGTAGGGGGATAGAGTCTGCTGTCCTCTGAGCTCCCCTGAACTTTCCCACGTCCTTACGTTGGCCTCTGTAACATAGACAGGGCTGGGACAATAGACTGCCCCATGCCTCCGAGTAGGAAAGAGATTGAGTCACCTCAATCCTGACCTTTGAAGGAGGTATGGGGCCAACCAGGGTCTTTGCTTCAGCAAGTTCCTCAGACCCAGGAGGAACTTTGGGGTACGGGAATACCAGACAAGGAGAAAAGCTGGAAAGATCCCAGTTTCCTGTTCCTTGTCCCTGGAGATTTCTTGGGTCTCCATCAAAGCCTTCTCGTGGTGTTTCTGGTTAGTGTCTCAGAAGTTGGGCAGAAACTCCTTAGCTGCTCCCACTTGGTCAGAATCTGGGCATCTGCCTGGGGGTCACTTGAGCATCCAGCCTGAGTCTAGACTGTGTGAAAATACTGAAGGAGGTCTCACATTACTGAGTCTATTACATCCATGGCATTGCTCTAAGTACATAATTCATTATTCTACTCACTCCATTCCAAAGGGAGCATTGTCCCCAAGTCATACAAAGGGGCACAGAAAGGCTAAGAGATTTGGCAATAAGTAGCAGAGCCAGGAGGGCTTAGGTTCTTCTTCAGACCAGTGAACCCTTACCTGCTCTGAGAAGAGCAGACTTCCACATGCCTCAAAGTATGTTGGAGGGAATGGAGGAAGCAACAGAAGTTCTGAGTAATTCATACTGCTCTGGAGAAATGTGGGGGAATCTTAGAGACCCTCTACCCACATACAGAGGAACTGTTCCTTAAACTTTTTTTTTGCCTTGAACAAGTTGCAATCGAGATTCTAGCCAGGCCTCAAGGAACTGCGGAATGAATAAATGGAATGCATCAAGAAATCTATGGACTCTTATCTTCTCAGAAGCTGTCCCTTACCTTGCCCCAGGCTGCCTTCAGGCTTTGGAGATGAGAGGATCTAAAACCATGTGCAGTGGTCCTCTTTATCTTTGAGGGATACCAAAACTCCCCACTGGATGGGTACCTGAAACCACAGATAGTAGCGAACTATATATGTTGTGTGTGTGTGTGTGTGTGTGTGTATGCATACATACCTGTAAACTTTTACCTTTTCACTTAAAGGAAGCACTTTACTGCTTCTCTTTGTCATAGTTGAATTGCCAACATCACTACTCTTGTGCTTTAGTGGGAGCATCATTAACAAAAATAAATGACTAGCACTATGATAACAGTTGATCTGATCACAGAGATGGCTTCTTGGTGACAAACGGGTAGCATAGGCATCATGGATCCTCTGGACAAAGCATGATTAACATCCTGAGTGAGACAGGGCTAGGTGGCTTGAAATTTCATCATGCTACTCAGAACAAGTGCAATTCAGAACGTATAAAATTTTATTTTATTCCTGGAATTTTCCATTTAATGTTTTCACAATGCAGTCAACCAAGGATAACTGAAACTACAGAAAGTGATAAAGACTAGATAAGAGAAGGCTACCGCAAGTAAATTCCGATGCAGGTACACGTGTGGAGGAGGGTGAGTCCTGGCTTCCTTTTCCTGGCCATAGGTGCACCCAACTATATGCACACTGGGAGCCATAAGCATACTGGGACACATTCCAAGATCTCATATTCCAGTCAGGGAGGACTACAGAGAACTGTTTTTATTAAAATTAAGTTAGCCAATGCTGGCCTGGCTACTCAGAGGAAAGAACAGTAAACAGTAGACAACGTCAGACCCCAGGGCAGAAGGATCTGGATAATGTCATGGGAAAGATTTTGTTTCCTTCTGCTCTTTGGATTCCCCAATCCTGAAGTTCCCACCCTCTCATCTGTCTCTCAAGGTCTAAGGGTGAGGGGGCCTGGAGCCCTTGTGTCTCAACCTACCTGTTGCTATAACCCTAAGATGGAAGAAACACAGTCGATAGCCCCAGCATGTCAGGAAATATTCTTTATTACAAAAAAATGCATGTAAACAAATAGCAACTGCATCGAACAGCCTCTCTCCAGGGCATGCACACCTGCAAGGAGGAAGGTGGAGTCCTGTCCCCACACACACAGGCCTGCCAAGGGCTGGGCCCAGCCTGCTTCTGGGATGCACATGGGCCTGCACATGCATCTTGATGGGCCCAGCCCTCACGGGTCACCAAAAGACACACCTCCCAGGCCAAGCACTGTCTGTCTGTCCACGAGTTGTGGCATGAGGCATGCCCAGTTCTGAGGGGCATAAAAGGAGGGCCATCACCTCAGCCCATCCATCTTCCCACTGTATTGGGAACCCCCAGAGCCTTAGAGAACTGAGAGGTCGTGGCAAGACTTGGACTTGGCGCGGAAGGCCATCTTGCGACTGTTGCGTGCTACGATGCGGCCTAGGAAGCGCTTTGCCTTCTTTCCAAGACTCTCCCGCCGCCGGGTACCAGCTTGCCTTCGTGCATTATCCTCTTTGCTGTCTCTGCGCAGGCGTATCTGACGCACAACACCCTCAAACAGCGCTTGGACGTTGTGATGCAGTGCCGCTGACGTCTCTATAAACTTGCAGTCAAAGACCACTGCGCAGGCCCGGCCCTCTGGTGTGGTGGGAGACAGATATGTTTCAATAAACAAAGAGTGAGGGATTGGGGGGAACCCACTCAAATTCTGGCCACCCCAAGAAGCTACTACCCACGAATCCTCAGGTAAGAATAGGGAGAATCCTGGGTTCTCTGCAGAAACAAGAAGATCCCATTCTTCCTCTGGGGCACCATTGAAGGAAGGCACATTGTGCACACACACACAAAAGACATTCATTTATTTGAAGCCTGATATTTAAACAGAAGTACTACAATAGTAAACCAAGGGAAACGAGCACTTCTCTGGACAGCTTAGTGCTTTATGATTTTATGTTATATTCTAATGAATAACCCAGTAGACTAGAGGGAAAACAATGTTATGAAGTCACTGTTAGCTTCCTCTGATGCATTCAGTGCTAGGGACCACAGAGAAAAATGCTAAGCCTAGAGGAAAGAACCAAGCTTACTCCAGGACTGGCCCCAATGCAGCCAGAATCAAGCTCTAACCTCCTGATGTGGCTTCTTCTACTTCCTTCCATCTAACCCCTCCACACACCTACCAAGCCAGAGTCAAATAGGCAGGAAGGGAGAGGGTCTTAGCTGAGGTGTCTTAGCTCTGCTTGGAAATTTGGTTCTCTCCCTAGCTCTCCGAGACCTCTGGAAGCCAGCCTTGTGGATTGGACAGCCTCTCGCTCCCTCCTTCCCTCCCCTTCTTTCTCTCTCTCCCTCCTCTTTTCCCTCCTCCTCCTCTCTCTCCCCTTCCCTCTCCCGTTTTCTTCCTGAACATTTTTAGCCACTGATGATCCCCAGGGACTCAAGCCCAGCCAAGACTGACTGGCCCACAGCCCAGTCAAAATCCACCTCCCCCCCCCGCTTTTCTGACCCGCTACCCACTCACCGTCCACGGAGACCTCGCGAGAGCGGACCAGGTCACTCTTGTTGCCCACCAGGATGATGGGCACATCGTCGGTCTGCCGGGCTCGCCGTAGCTGGACCCGAAGTTCTGAGGCCTTCTCAAAGCTGCCCTTGTCAGTTATTGAGTACACGATGACGTATGCATCCCCCATGGCCATGCAGTGGCCAGGCAACCAGTGACCCCCATCCTGAAGAACACACACACACAGAAACACACACAGTTACAACTGCTCCCCATATTTCTACCAAGAGCCTTTTACCTACCCCAGCTCATCCCTCCCATCCACCCCTGCTCTGCCTCCCAGCCTACATCCTACCTGCTCCCAAATATCATAGACCATGAGTGATGCTTCTTCGCCATCCACCATGAAGGAACGGTCATATGTGTGCCCTGGACGGAAGATATAGTCAGGTTACCAACTGACTGTCAAAAGCTCCCCCCCTCCTACCCATTTCCCTGCTGTGGCCACACCCTATCACTCCTTCCTACAGCTCTCCAAACACTTCTCTACTTGAAGAAGGCTGCTAATAGCAACAGAATGGACAAGACTAGAATCTGGGAATGGTGAGTGAGCATGTGATCTCTACCTATGTCCCCCAAATTAGCAATGTCCCAAGTGTCTACACCCGTGCTCTCTGCCCTCCTGCCGCCTAGGCTGGGCTCTTTGTGATCACCATAGCTGGAGTCAGAATTAGTGACTGTCACGAACCCGTGGGGGTCTTGGTCAACCTAAGGCTTTTCTAGAAACTCCCAACTCTTGCAGGGAGAAATGTCTTGCCCTCATGCCACAGAGAAATCCAAACCTTGGGTCTTCTATTCTGGGCATTTCTTCCCTATCAAGGGCTGGCACATGGCCGAAGGGGAAGAAGATGGTTGGAGGTAGTCCTTCCTCCTTTAATTTTCCCATCTTGAAGTGGGAAGATAGAGGTATGCATATCAGTATTTTTAGGGTCTCATAGTATTTTGCAACTGTCCTAACCCTGGGGTCTTCCCTCCCCCAGAAATGTCCCCTTCCTCTCACCTGCGGCCTCTGCTTCAGGACCATCCTCGACACCACCGAAGATGCGCGCCAGGGCGCTCTTGCCCACGCCGGGCGCCCCCAGCAGCAGCACTTTGTACACGCTCTCGTCGGAGCCGCTGCCCCCGGAGCTGAGCGAGTCCGAGGAGCCCTCGGGCCAGTCCAGCCTTCGGCCCTGGGTCGCGGTGCCGGCGGCGGCCACGGCCAGGGCGCCCGGAGTCAGCGCCGCCTGCAGGTCGCGCTCGTCCACCGGCATGCTCCGGCGCGGGGCCCCAGGGGGTGCTGCCCCGACGGCGCTCGCGCTCGCGGCCCGCGCCGCCGCGGCTCCCCGCGGCTCCGCCGCCGCCGCCGCTGCCGCTGCTGTTGCCGCCATTCAGGGTCATCTCGTCCGACGCCGCCGTCTGGAGGATTAGGAACCAACCGGGGTGGCCGTGTGAGCAGCAGCAGGGGGGAAGTGGGACCCCGAGTCCAGCAAGATGCTTGGCCCAGAGAAGTGGGATCTGGAGTCAGGAAAGATGCTTGGCCTCAACCCACTCCCGGCCACTAGGGTCTTTAACCTGTCACCCCGCCAAAACCTGGCCCAGCCATCGGCGACTCAGACGGCGCGCCGCACCCCACTCCCCGGGACACTCACCCACTCGCGCACAGACACCGCGAGGACCAGGGTGGGGCTCCGACGCAGGCCGATGGGGCTCAGAAGCACCCCGCTCGCAGAGCTGGGCGCAGACCCTCGGACCTTCCGCGCGGCTGGAGTCCTCAGCCCGCTCTGGCTAGGCGATTCCAGAGCTGCCTATTTAAGCCTCCGCCCGCCCCCGCCCCGCCCCGCCCCCGTCCCCCCCCCCCGTCCACGCCGCTGCTGCGGGCTGATGTGTCCACCCTGCGGGGAATCCCCACCTTCAGTGGAGAGCCTCGCACCCACCGAGATTACCCCCCCCCCTCCCCACACACACCAGGGGCTGGCTAGACAGCTTCCAAGGACTGGGTGTGTTAAAGAAGGAGGGAGGGAAAAGAGGGAGGGGGAGAATGAGTGTGTGTGTGTGTGTGTGTGTGTGTACTGTGGGGTTTGGGGGGAGTGGTGGACACGGGTGGGGAGGCAGGCTAGACCAGCCAAGTGCAACTCCTCTTGGGGAAAAATTAGGTCTGCCCCTTTAAGAGTGAATTCTCCCTTCCTTTGCTCACTCGTGGCCAATTGCCTGAGCCTGTAGACCAGTTAGGACTGGACAGATTCTCAGTCCCTAACCCCCCACTCCTCACAGGCCCATATGAGAGCTAGAATTTATTAGAGTTCCTAAATCATTGCTAGAGTTCCTAAAGAGTCCACACCAAATCCTTCTGGCACTTCCCTGTCCTGGAGAATTGAAGATTGTCTGTAATAAGCCTGTCTTTAGGGATGAAAGGTAGAGGTGATGGTGGTGTCTGTGAATCCCTGGGGACCAGTAGCAGGTGGCTGGGAAGGGACCAGGAGGACCCCCTGGTAGTGCCTAGCAGGCAGGATTGCATGCTTCAATCCTAGAGAGAAGACACAGGCCCAGAGACGGGAAAAGGTGAACTCAGTCCCACAACTCTACCTTCCAAGCAACTGCCAGCAACTCTGCTAAAAATATCTGCCCCTGGCACTGGTTATTCTGCCCCTGGGCTGGAGGTTGCCCTGAGTTGGGGAAATCCAGGCAGACAGTGTAGGATGCCAGCAAGATGTAGACACTTGACTCTTTAAGCTTTTCCTGCTTCCTTAGCCCCAGGAAGAGCACATGCAGACAGAGTATGGGTAAGAGGTGGGAAGTGACTTTGCTACCACTTTGGTGTCTAAAGTTTACTCTCCCTCAGACCTAGGGTTGGGGGGGGGCACAGAGGAAGGAGAGGTGATCAGGAAGCTGAGTGTCTAGTGATAGCTATTCCTCTGGTCTACTGGATCTTGGCTCTCTCCGGCTTCAGGGAGATAAAATTGGACATAAATTGGACATCATGACCTATTCCACCTTGTTCATCTCTGTCATAAGGACTGGGGGGTGGGGAGGCTGTGACGTATTTTAGAACAAGAACTTGCTATCAGTCTCTGATGTTAGATTGTGAGAAGTACCGTGTCAGTGGGAGGGCACCCATTCAAGACTCAGGTGACATCACAGATAGATCGACCCTAGTGGGCTGTAGCAGGTTGTCATGGAGACTTGGGCTAGACTTTCTGACTGCTACATCAGTTTCCTTGGCAACATCTAAGAAGTCCTTGGATGGATAAGGGCCTGACTAGGAAAGGTTAGGGGTTCATGAAGGGCTCTCTTATTCTTGAAGTCTTCGAAGTAGGCAAGAGTTGGTCAGAAGGGGCCAGCCCGTGTGTCATCCCCATTAGGAAAGACCTTGGAAACCTGGGAAACCTTGGAAGACCTTGGAAACCTGCTGGCTGTGGCTTCTCGGATAAGATCTAGCAGGAATAGAGAGTCAGCTCAACCTCTCATCAGAGGATAGAAGTTTCTAGAACCAGCATACCATTTCCCATCAAGAATACTGGCCACCTGCTTATAACCTTCCCCCTGCACCCCCCACCCCCCACCCGCCCAACATACACATGTGGTGTAGCTGGGAAGAACCCCTAGATGTCCAGCAGAGGGGTGGGGGAGGGCAATAGCTGTGGCCCTTCCCAGCAGAAGGCTGAGCATATAAACAGGGCTGGCTTTCCCCTCTGGTAATTTGAGCTCTTGACTTCAGCAGTGTGTCTTCATTGCCAAGGAAACAGCATACACACAGGCCACTCAGATCCCAGGCATTCTGGTAGCTGCCCCAACAGGGTAGAGACACTTATCAGGAACCTAGGTAGGGCCAGAGGACTTTCACACCAGAATGTGACCTTGAGACACATTTCTCTACTCCTACCATCTAGTCCTCCCAGCCCTCTGTGCTGAAGTTGGCCACCTAGAATGCACAAAGTGAGTCTGGAAGCAGCCCTAAGGCCCTCTGTTCCTTTCTAGTTATGTCATCCTTTGTGCATTTATCCTGGCTGAGCCTCAGTTTCCTCCTGTGTCCACTGCGGTTAATATCTTGTTGGGGGTTGTTCTGAGATACACACACACACACACACATGTAACATAATACATAGAGGTACTGTAATTGGTTCAAGACACACATGGAGCCATCTCAAAACACTTGTATTATTATTACCCTTGGGTGGATAGGGCAGGCTGAATCAGTAGGCTTTCTCTTGCTTCTGCACCATTCTTTCTCCAGGATAGTGGTTTGCTCAGGATTGTTCCAGGGATCCCTTTAACAATGAAGACAACTCTTCCCTGTATTCTATACCCATCTTCTTCTTTTTTTTTTTTTTTGGTCCGATCGTGAGGCCTGAACTCTGGGCCTGGGCGCTATCCCTCAGCTCTTTAGCTCAAGGCTAGTGCTCTACCACTTGAGCTACAGCACCACTTATGGCTTTTTTCTTTTTGCCTATGTGGTGCTGAGGAATCGAACCCAGGGCCTCAGGCATGCAAGTCAAGTGCTCTACCACTGAGCCACCTTCCCAGCCCCTCTATACCCATCTTCTCACTGTGGGACCCCACCTAATCTCAGGTGGGGTGCAAAGGAAACTTGGGAACTGGGCTTCAGTGTCCTCAGCCCTCCTTGACCACAGCCTTCAGGTCTCAAGGACTGTACTCTGTTCTAAGGCTTCACTCATCCATCCATCCATCCATCCATCCATTTTACTGACCTATACTCAGTACCTGAGTATAGGCCCTTTTACCAGGGGCAAGATAATAGACATGGCTGGGCTTGTTCATGTGTCACCTGATCTCGAGATCAATCTCATTTAGCTATGATTTGTTTTCCCATTTTGTAGACATGGTAACAGAGGCTTCAGGGGTCACTGGCCAGAAATAGCAGAGCCAGATATACCTAGAGATGGGTTTCAGAGAACTTGAGCTCTTCCCCCCTACCGTTACTTCTGCATCCTCACCCAACAGCTGGGGGTTCCAGAAGGTTCCCTGGGTGCTGGCCCAGTATGCACAGATGGTGTCCCACAGGCAGTCAGAGGCCAGGCATTTATGAGTCAAGACTGTCAAGGGGACTATCTGAAACCCCAACCGTGGCATGAACAGCTTGGTATCCCTTACCCAATCATGCTCTGGCTGCCAAGAGGGCCAATGGAATGACTCAGTGACACTTCCCTTCTCTGTGACCCCCACTTCCAGTTGAACACAGACACATCCAGTAGAGGCCGCATGTGATGAGGCTTATAATTCAGAAGGGCTGCCTGGGCCTGATCACCCTGATCAGGCACCATGCCTACCTAGAGCCTTCAGCTCCTATCTGTGGAATGGGGGTCCAGTCCCTGGAAGATCATCTGAAATAGGACCAGGGCCTATTCATATCCCCTACAGAACAGTCCCGAGACTGCCACGACTATCCCAATCATGTATGAAGAGTGACATGTACTGAGCAATCAGTTAGTTCCACAGTGTCCTCTCAGTCATCAGTGAGCCGTGATCACAACAGAAGCTGGGATCTGGGGTGGGCCTAGGCCTTTCTATGGAGGTAACAGCGCCCCCTACCAGATGTTTAGATTCCCTTTACCTCTTGAGCTATGAGCATTGAAAACTATTCTAGAAGCTAATTTCCTCATGGATAAAAGCAACTGCCACACAGGGCTGGATGGAAAACTGTAAACAGTAAATAAAGCCAAACAGTAAACCCCTGGGCCCAAATGCCCACTCTCAGGACAGGCAAAGTGTTGTCAATGGGCCATCAAGAATAGATTTGTGCAGGCTGTAATCCTAGCTACATGGGAGGCAGAAGTCAGGAGGATTGATATTCAGGGCTAGCCCAGATAAGAAAGTTAATGAGACTTTCATCTTAACTAATAGAAAACTTGGGCATTGTGGTACATATCTGTCATCCCAGCAGAAGCACAAACAGAAGGATCATGGTCCACATCAGCCCAGGTATAATGTGAAATCTTTTAAAAAAAACTTTATTATTATTGTTACTATTATTATTACAATTTTTTAGTTGGTCATGGGGCCTGAACTCTGGGCCTGCGCGCTGTTCCTCAGCTCTTCAGCTCAAGGCTAATAGCACCCTATCAGCTGAGCCACAGCACCACTTCCTGCTTTTTCTGCTTATGTGGATCTGAGGAATTGAACCCAGGGCCTCATGCATGCAAGGCAAGCACTCTACCACTGAGCCACCTTCCTAGCCCCTAATGTGAAATCTTATTTGAAAAATAATTAATGCAAAAGTGGCTTGCGGTGTAGTTGCACATGCTTAGCCAGAACAAGGCCTGAGTTAAAACCCCAAAACAACCAACCAACAAAACCAAACCAGACATGATGGCCTGTGCCTGACCCAGCTACCTGAGAGGTCTAGGTAGGGTCCACTCTGCAGGGACACCCACTGCCCCTGCCCTCCCTCCTAATCCCAAATGATTCCAAGACAAAGTCACTAAGGCATCCTAGAAAATGAATATAAATTAAAGGTTTATTACAAAATGCAAAATGTTAATTTCTCATTGTCAGTGATTCAAGAAAACAAAGTCATGACCCCTGGATGCAGCTGGGGCCAGTAGAGACCAGTGTGCAGGCTGGGGGTCAGAAGCCAAGCTTAGGAGCGAGCTGACAGACACTGATTCACAACCTCCAGTAGGTGGGTGTTCTCCAGGGCAGCTGCTACTCGCTCCTTATCTGCAAGCTGTTTGTTCACTGTGTGAAAGAAGGCGTGAGAAAGGCAGAATCAAAACCAGCTCGTTAAGCTGCTAGCTAGCCCAATCTCTAAGCCTTAGTATAAGCTACATTCCCACCAATATAAGGCTCTCCTATCACCTTCCTAGGACCCCATATCTTAAATCAGACTACCCAACCAATCACATAAGCCCACAGTGATCCTGTCTTCTTAAGAATGCCTCTCACCTGCTTCTGATACTGTCAAAATCTGACACAACTTTCCTGTTTACTTGGAGAGAGCAGGGGGGTGGTACATGGTAAGCAGGAGATTTGAGTCAGGTGAGCTTTGTTATAGGCTAAATCTCACTGACAATTCCATTCCCCAATTTCCCTATAGACCACTGTGGCAAGGTAGTACCTCCCACAGCACAGGGCACTACGATATCACTTTCATCACCAGCTCACACTTACCTGCATGCTCCGAGGCATGGGTTCCTGGGGTAATGTGCACATCCATCTGGGAAGGAAACAACCTGAGCCTGAGCACTCACCCATTCCTGTCCCCCCCCCCTCTTCCCCCTTCCCCCGCCCCCAACCCTCCAGTGCTACTTCCAACGAATTCTTCCTCCTAATCATGCCTCTAGATTCTGGTCCCACCACTGCGCCCAAAACTCACCCACAGCCATTCCAACTCTACCCAAAGGACTGGCCAACGACTGTGGGTCAGATCCAAATCCACCTACAGCTCCTCTTGCCACACACCTCACTACTTTTTTTTTTTTTTAAACCACTTTCCACTTCAGATCTCTCTTACTATCAATCAACTTGGCCAATTTCAGCCCACTTTCATCTCTGCTAGTTGGGATCCTCCTAGGCCCTAAACTCTGATATCCTCTCCATGTCCCTGTTCTTCCAGTCCCCTCCTCCTTAAGCAGCAGACTTAGTTGCACCCTCCGGTGCTCAACTCCAACTGACCTTGAAACGCTGGGGAAGGGATCGCAGAAGCTTGACTTTGATAGACAAACCAATAAGGGTGGCCATGCTGCAGTGCGGAATGGTAGGCGTGAAGGCCACCGCCACTGTGCTCTCAGGGTCACTAACCTAGGTGGGAGGTGTTGGGGGAGGGGGGGAGAGGTCAGACATCACAATTATCCCCAGCCCGGGTGCCCTCCAAGCCTGTTGCTGTGGGCAAATCACCTAATCTTTATGGGCTTCAGCATCAATACCCCTAAAATGGGCATGGTAAAGATCCCCCGCTTCCCCCCAAACTCAGGTGTCTGCTGCTCAGATCCAAACGAGTCGCTCCCCCCACCCCCCCGACGCTGGGCGTGCCTCACCTGAACCCGAACTTGCTCTACGACGTTCAACTCCTCTAGCGTCAGGGGATGCTCTGGGTCATTGATGGAGCGAATAAGATGTGATAAGTGAAGGAAAGCGTGTCCTGTGTTTCTGTCCACTTAGAAGTTCAGCCAGCGGTCGGACTCCAGTCCCTTCCCCGCTCCCCGCCGCCCCCGTCCCGTCCGCTCCCCGGCCCGTCCGCTCCCCGGCCCGTCCGCTCCCCGGCCCGTCCGCTCCCCGGCCCGTCCGCTCCCCGGCCAGGGCCCAGCACCGGCGGATATCGAAGATCTCCCGTGCGTCTATGCTGTCGGGAACCTCCTCGTCCTCCTCCCCTGCAGTCACGGGCCGCTCCCCAGAGCGCTCATAGATGAGGGGGTTTGCATTCTCCAGCAGCCCACCGCCTCCGCCGCCGCCCACCATCCCGCAACGGCGGCCGACCCCAGCCGGGGCCCACTTCCGCTCCTAAGAGCCCACTTCCGGAGTACGGGAAGGAGGCGTGGCGCGGCTACGGGGTGGCCCGAGGGACCCGGCGCGCTTTTCGGAATCCGCCTCAGGTTTGGGGGAAGCGGTGGCTTTGCGTGCTGGCCTCTGAGACCGAGGGAAAATGCGGATTGCTCCCGCCGGGCTTTGAGAAGGGATCCGGGTCCGGCGAGGCCTGGCGATCCCGTGGAGACCTTGACAGAGGCCAGGGTCGTTCCCATACAGCCTATCGGCTCTCTGAGGCCGAGTCTCGCCATTTCCTCCGAGAAATCCGGCTGGCCTGGCGTGTAGGGAACTCTGACACCAAGCTGTGAAACCTGGGGGAAGGTTCGAGAGTTTGGAACGCGGCCTCGGAACGCTGAGAGCTGGCCATGGAAGGGTTAAAGCAGACAGCTCTGGAGATACTGGAATGCCAGTCGGGGCTGGGGATCTTGTGGATAAAAGAGCTGAGCTAGCAGCTTAACCCTGGGAGGCGAGGTAAGGACTTCTGGTCTGGGCTCTCCCTGGGCTGCAGCCTCCTGGCTCAAAAGAATAAAGGAACTAGTATCTCTCACAAGCTCTGTTTCGGCTCTGATTGTGATAATACAGATGCTTTTCTTTTTGCCCGTATCCATGGTAACCTTCTTTGTGTAAACTCAAATATGCTTGCTGGTGGAAACTTGGGGCCCAAGTGCCCTTGAGCCTTGGGACCCCATGCTCCTCCCCCATCTCTTTGTCTGTGTCTCTGTGTTTTCTCTACTTTTCTTCGGCTCTGATATCCCATCGCTAGTCTTGGGTTGTGTTTAGCAACACCAGTGTCCAGACTGGCTATTGCTATCCCAGCAGAGTTCTTGGCTTCTCCAGAAGTGATGTGCCTGCTACCCCTACCGAACCATAGGGCCAGGAGGGACTCTGGGTTTGAGGAGAGAGTCCTGGTAACTCAGAGGCTACAGAAGCCACTGAGTATCTTCAAGGAGACCAACAGGGGCACAGGAGATAAGGAGGTAGACATGGCCTTCTGCTGGCTTCTGGCTCCTCAGGAATTTTACCAAGTTCAGTGCCCACTCTTTCGCAACGCACACCTTGCACAGTACCACGTGTTCCTGCCCCGTCCAAAGTCTGGAGTGGGAAAGCTCTAATTTGCTGTTGCTGCTGCTGCCAGTGCTGCCTGTGGATGAAACTCAGCATGTTCTGCAGCACTGACAGAGGTCTGGGTTCCCACCATGTTGCTGCATCAGCCTCGTGCATGCTATGGTGTATGGGCTCCGGTTTCTGCTTCTTCAAGGTGAGACTCCTCCAGGGGGCAACAGAGACTAAAGTCAGCTCTGCCAGACTGCGCAGAGGTGGAGCCTGAGGGGAAGGTGTCAAGGAGGAAGTTAACTGCTGAAGACAAAAAATGTTCACAGGCTATTTTGGAAACTTGGTTATGAGACTGTCTCCCCTACCTTACCACAGACCTTGAGAACCTGTTAAGTCCCAGCACGACCACTAGCAAGTTCCCCTTAAATGTTTGTCAAGTGGGTACAACTGTGAATTTTATCTTGGTGATAAAAGTAGCAAGGATAGCCACTGAGGGAGAGGTAAAAGGCTAAGTCCTTGTGTCAGTCACAAGTGTGATTGAATGGAACGGCTCTTTTTTTTGTGTGTGTGGGTTGTGGGGCTTGAACTCTAGGCCTGGACACTGTCCCTGACCTCTTCAGCTCAAGGCTAGCATTCTACCACTTGAGCCACAGTGCCACTTCTGGCTTTTTCTGTTTATGTGGTGCTTAGGAATTGAACCCAGGGCCTCATGCATGGGAGGCAAGCACTCTACCACTGAGCCACATTCCCAGCCCCGGAACAGCTTTTTCTTCCATGCAGACCCTAAAACCATGACTCTAAGGGTTGAGGGAACTTGAAGGAGTCCTAGTAATAAACTTGAGTCCTGATTTCAAGGAGGAGTTTCAGGCCAGGCACCAGTGGCTCACGCGTGTCACAGGAGGCTGAGATCTGAGGACCGTGGTTCAAAGCCAGCCTGGGCAAGGAAAGTCCATGAGACCCTTATCTCCAATTAAGCACCAGAAAACTGGAGGTGGCACTGGGGCTCAAGTGGTAGAGCACTCTCCTTGAGCTGAATTGCTCAGGAGCAGCACCCAGACCCAGAGTTTAAGTCCCAGGACAGAAGGAGTTTCAGAATGAAGAACACAGTCGCAGCTCCCTGTTCTTGTTCAAGTGCTCACCTTTGCCCCATGGGAGCTGGGGGCACAGTCCATTTGTGGGTTCCTGAGCCTGCTTCTCTTCAGAGCACTCCTGATTTTCTCCATTACAGCCTTCACCTCAGTAAACATAATGATCTCAGGTCTGGAGACAGCTCCTAGTATCTTAAGAGCTGCAGAAGCCACACAACCCACCTGGAGGAAAGCAAAGGGGAAGTAGGAGAAGAGGAAGGCTCAGATCCTGAGTGCTAGCCACTGACTTCCTGTGACTTCTGCCCTGTCAGTGCCACTTTCTCCACAGAAATCTCTTTCCCCAGCCCCACCCAGATCCCCACCTATTCCAGCAGGTCTAAACTCCTGCTTGCACAAGGCCCAGTTTAATTGTGCCTGTGAGTGAGTTGCAGTGTGCCACACAGAGGTACAGAAACAGTCCTGTGAGCCAACCATGCCTCTGGACCGATTTCCTGCCTGGCTGACTGCAATGATCTGTGGGTTCCTGCTTCTCCCACTCCAGATCCACGGTGAGACTCCTGCAGGGGGCGATGGGGACCAGGGTGAGATCTGCCACATGGTGTAGAGCAGAGCTTGAGACTGGGGAAGGGGAGGGAGGGAAAGGCGAGTCAAGAGCAAAGTGTGGGAAACATGCCACTTAAAGTACCCCCACGAGGTGACCAGATTGGTCTCCAAATATCTCAGAGAGGGATCATAGACACCTGAGGACACCAAGGAGTGAGCCAGCCTACTGTGGGAAGCTCTGATTTTCCCTAGATGGGCAGAAACCTCCAGGAAGAGGATGGTGTGTGTGTGTGTGTGTGTGTGTGTGTGTGTGTGTGTGTGTGTGTGAGAGAGAGAGAGAGAGAGAGAGAGAGGAGAGAGAGAGAATATTTAGGACACTCATTTCTCTATATCTGTGGCTGTGTCTGGCTGTAGTTGCTAATGGTCCTGGGTAAAGCAACAATAATACCTTCATGCTGCCATTTGCTTTTGAGTAGGTTACCCCATTGGCTAGAGAAGTACCATAGCACCTCCAAAGTGGTTCCAGGCAAGGTGGTACACAGACCCTCAGCCACACAATGTCAAAGCGGAACTAAAGGACTGTCGGTTCTTTGCACTTATGTATCAGTCCTGGGCAAGGGCATAGCTTGGCTTTCCAGGGCAAAGGCATATGCCCTGTGCCTGCTAGACAATCTTGAGGCCCTTATCAAGAGCTCATGCCAGAAAGAAACCATGCCCAGGTGTGTGTGTATAGCCCTTGATCTTTCTCATCCTACAGCCTCCTAGTATGGTCCCTAACAATGTTCTCCATCTAATCTGCCTAAAGCGTCTCCCCCCTACCTTACCCATGGGCCTCACCTATCCCTTCCAGGCTTCTTCTCTTTCCTCTTCTCTTCTCTTCTCTCTCCCTTCCTTCCTTCCTTTCTTGCTTTTTTTTTTTAGTTGGTCATGGAGTGTGACCTCTGGGTCTGGTTCTGTCCTTGAGCTCTTCAGCTCAAGGTGTGTGCTCTGCCACTTGAGCCACAGCGCCACTTCCAGTTTTCTGGTGGTTAATTGGAGATAAGAGTCTCATAAACTTTCCTGCCTGGGCTGGCTTGAACCACGATCCTCAGATCTCAGCCTCCTGAGTAGCTAGAATTACAGGTGTGAGCTCCTGGCACCCAGCTTCCTCCCTTACTTTTTTTTTGGGGGGGAGGGGGAGTTGGTCGTGGGGCCTGAACTCTGGGCCTGGGCGCTGTCCCTCAGCATTTCAGCTCAAGGCTAGCGCTCTACCACTTAAGCCACAGAACCACTTCTGGCTTTTTTTTGTCATGTGGTGCTGAGGAATAGAACCCAGGGCCTCATGCATGCAAGGCAATCACTCTACCACTGAGCCACCTTCCCAGCCCTTCCTTACTTTTTTTGACCAGACTCTGGGAGGTCATCAAGGCCTTCTTGGCAGAAAGGTCTGCACTAAGACTTCTGTATTAATTCATCTTTAGCTTGGATTCATTGGTTCAGAATCTGACAAGACTCTAGTATCATCTATCCCACCCAGTCCTGGCTCCTCAGAAGGACCATCAGTCACAGGGTCTACTCTACAGTGTCAGGACTTTACTTAAGAACCCTTGGTTTTTGCCTAACTATTCACTAACTCCCCACTTTCTGGAGCTGGGCTCTGCCTCCTGACATGAGGAATATGTATTCCCATGTGTGGCTCAGCTTCCTGGTACTAGTTCACAGAGGTTCCTCTTTGAGGATGAAGCATCTTCCATGTAAACTGGTCTCGAACAGGAGCATATCAGCAATGCCTGTCCTTTGCGGTAACAAATATTAGACATCAGTGTCTGATGGCCACAATGAGGTACATGGTCTGAAATCTCATCTTTCAAGACATCTTCGGTAGCCTGTCTATTCCCAGGGTCAAGGATGTATTTTACTGGACTTGATGTTGGTAAATTGCTGTCACTGGCATCTGTGAGTAGCTGCTGCTCTGGCCTCCCTATACAAGGTTAATCAAACTTGCTGATCCTCAAAGTTCTAATGGGGAAAGGGAATAGCACTGCCCCAAGAGTTCTTGGGGCTTTAAATTTTTTCTTATAGGAATAGTTCAGATCTGCCAATTTCTTTTTTTTCCCTCTTTTGTTGGTCATGGGGCTTGAACACCCACAGCTGCTGGTTCGGCAGACCCAATCCTGATGTAGCATCACTCTACCCACAGGTCACGACTCATCCAGCCCCATCAGGACCACACACACAGGGCAGGTGAAGGGCAGCCTTGTCCATCTGAGAGACACCGATGTCAAGGTCCACACCTTCCTGGGCATTCCTTTTGCCAAGCCACCTGTAGGACCACTGCGGTTTGCCCCTCCAGAGCCCCCTGAACCATGGAGTGGTGTGAGGGATGCCACCTCCCACCCAGCCATGTAAGTTCTTCCAGGGAGCCCAGGGGACTTCAGTGTCGGAGTGGGACAGGAGCTCCGAGCTGTGGGTCAGGCTGAGCAGTTCTTCCATCTGAACACCACAGCTAGTTCCCTTAGCATGTGGGAAATCCTCCCAATGCATTTTCCTAAAAATATGTTGACGTTCAAAGAGTGCAGCATTTTTGCTAGGCTCAGGGATCTAGTCTTGACATGTGGACAATATTAGCATCAGGTGCTAAAGAGAGGAGCAGAGATAAACTTCTTTTGTCTTGGTTTGGACTAATCTTCCACTGTTATCTGGGAGATGTGCAGGCTGGCTGTAAGAGTCTCTGCCCCAGCAGCTGATGGTACGTACAGATCCTTAAGGATGGCAGCAGTGGTGGTTCTTTGGAGAAGTTAAACTCTTCAGTTCACTGTGCCAACCCACAGGGCCACGTGCCACTGACCCATGAAAAGTCTATATGCTCCCAACTGGAGACTCTGTGGAAGGGTGAAGTTCCATGAGAGTCTGAACTTGGGATGAGGAAGGCCCTCCCATTTCAATTCACTCACTTGTGTGATGGCAGCAACTCTGTTCCAGGCCTGAATGGGTACTGGGTGAATTGGTGAATGTCAGTCCTTACAGTCAATGGTTCCTACAGAGTCCTTTAAGAGTCGAGAACTCCCAGCCTGGAGAGTGGTGGATCGAAGCCCCCAACAACCTTGAGGTCTACCTGGAAGTCAAGGCTTCATCTAAGTCTGAGACTTGCACCTGTGTAGGAAGAAACTTTAGAGAAGGGTTGTGCCTGAACAGAACCTGAGGGATGGCAGAGGCTGAGAATAGCTGGGAGCAAGTCTCAGGGGCTGGGTTTCACCACTGTATAATCCTTAGAATACCTGTCTGCCATTGTTATTAGGTGTCTGCAAAATGCCAAAGGAAACAATGTCTTGGCCACGATCCTGTTGAATATGACCATGACTGCCATCCCTGTATCTGAGGACTGCCTATACCTCAGTATCTACTCACCTGTCCATGCCCATGAGGGCTCTAACCTGCCTGTGAGTATCAGGACATGGTCCCTGAGTGTTGAGTGGGAGGACACTTCTTTTGTGTGAATATTAGAAAAGTCAAACAAACCTAGGCTCTTACTACAGCATGGATACTAATAAGAAGTGAGACAGTGAGAATACTATCAGGTCCAGAAGGCCTTCTTACCCAGAGAGGGGCTTTACCCTAGGTATGGAGACCCCAAGTCTTGATGGCTCTCAGAGATCAGATGCTCCATTGCACTTTACTCAACTGAACAATGGATAATTGTCCTTTGGGGGAATTTCAGAGAGACCTTCTTTTATCGCCTACCTTAGAAATGTTCTGGGAGAACTAGATCCATGCTTTTATACATGGGGTAGATGAAAGCACAAGAGTGCTATATTCTTAATTGAACTTGGATCTTTAGCCATGGCAGAGACCATGGCCCCTTCTGGGCTCTGGAAGGAAGATAGTATCAGAGAGCCGAATCAATGGATAATGTAGGGGGTAGCCTCAGAGGGCCTTGAGTTGGATCAGAACCAATGTCAACTATCTTGACTTCTCCAGGTGATGGTGTGGATCCATGGTGGGGGTTTAATTATGGGTATGGCTTCCTTGTATGATGGATCCAGGCTGGCAGCCATTGAGGATGTGTTGGTGGTCACTATCCAGTACCGCCTGGGAGTTCCAGGTTTCTTCAGGTGAGCCTGGGATTGAAATGGGCAATGAGTGCCAAGCACAGCTGCGACAGCCCTGTGACCCTTGTCTCTACCACTTCTCAGCACTGGAGACCAGCATGCCACTGGCAACTGGGGCTATCTGGACCAAGTGGCCGCCCTACGCTGGGTCCAGCAGAATATTGCCCACTTTGGAGGCAACCCCAACCGTGTCACCATTTTTGGCGAGTCTGCAGGTGGCATTAGCGTGTCCTCACATGTCGTGTCCCCCATGTCCCAAGGACTCTTCCATGGGGCCATCATGCAGAGTGGGGTGGCCCTGGTACCTGGATTCATGTCCAGCTCCTCTGAGGTGGTTGTCAAGGTGAGTGCCCTCAACCATCCAGCCCAGACCCACTGTTTCACCCTTCATCCTCACAGCCGCTGGTTCTCTGTTTTGTGGAAACAATAAGGACTAAGGAGATGCCTTGAGTATGTCTCCTTGGGAATTGTTGAGGGGTCAGGGATCAGAATTCACACCTCTCTGCCTCTCCGAGGCTGAGTATGTTTTATGGCCAAGTTTCCTCATCCTGTAAGTAAGCAGAAGGGAATAGCCCTTCTGGCTGGGGCCTCTGAGCATCAGAGAAGTGGGTACAATTTCACTCCTGCAACTCCACACTCCATACCCTGGGAGATTTAGGAGCACTGCACCCATCTGGGTCTGGGAAAACTCTTCCTCCTGCCTGGAACGATAAGATAGCCCTTGCCTGGTTGCTTTCTAGATGGTGGCCAATCTGTCTGCCTGTGGGCAGATGGACTCAGAGGCTCTGGTGCACTGCCTGAGGGGCAAGAGTGAAGAGGAAATGCTGGCTATTACCAAGGTCAGACCAAAAAGAGTGGGTGTGGGGAAGGCAGAAAGACCATTGGCCTATGTGGGGAAAAGGCAATAGGGTATAAAACAACCAATCCTTAATAGTCTGAACTCTGTCTGTGGCATGGCCTTTCCATGGGTTGCTGTCCTTGTAACCCTGGATGCAAAATGGAGACCAAGGGAAGCTCAGCCAAGTGTTGGATCTCTGGGGATAGGTTTGAGGCAGCATACTGGGAGGAGTTGGGAGGTGGTGAATTAGTTGAATATGTCAGAAAAATGCCTGGAACCCGACCTCAACTCCCTGACCTTGAATGTCCCCTTAGGCCCTCACTATCATCTCTGGTGTGGTGGATGGGACCTTCCTACTCAAGCACCCTCAGGAGCTGCTGGCCTCTGCTGACTTTCAACCTGGTCCCAGCATCATTGGCATCAACAATGATGAGTTTGGTTGGATCATCCCCAAGGTGAGGCCCAGTTCTAACTTGGTAGAAATCTGAGGAATGTATCTGGCATGGTGACAAGGACATCAGGACTCCATACCCTTTAATACCCTCAGACCCCAACTTGAATCTATTTTCCTCTTTGTCACCCAGCTCATGGGGATAGGAGACACTGAGGAGAAAATGGACAGAAACACCATACAGGCTGCTCTGCAGAACATATCAGCACACATGGTGAGACTTCTTGGGTCTCCCCATGAAGAGGCTACTCCCACATTCCTACCCATGCAGTGACTCCCAGGAGCAAAGGCCTGTGCTTGTGTGTTTGTGTGTCTAGGGAAAGATGGAAGGCTCACATCAGGGACTCGCCCTTTCCCCCAGTATTTTGTCCATCACAGGCTTCATCTCCCCACCAATAAGCTGCCTCCTCCCTGCCACTTCCTGTCTAGCCTGACTGTTTCTGATCCTCTAGGGCCAGATATTGCCTGCTGAGTATAGTGACCTGCTGATGGAGGAGTACCTGGGGGACACTGAGGACCCCCAGACCCTCCAGGCCCAGTTCTATGAGATGATGGGGGACTTCTTCTTTGTGATGCCTGCACTGCAAGTAGCACATTTTCAGCGTGAGTACATCTGTAGCTGAGACTGACCACCTAGTGGATAGCTCAGGGCTATGTATCCCAGGTATACTCTGTGATGTCCAGGTCCTCATCTTTGTCTTTCTTGGACACCTGGTACCAGACACTGGATGATCCTCATGACACTAAATCCTCATATCTAGTGTAAGAGACTAACAGAATTCTATTTTGCAAGGAGGAAACAGATTAATAATATTTAATGACTTGCCCAAACCACATAGTGGGGAAATGTAAAGCCATGTTTCAACCAAGGTCTTCCCACACCATAGCTCCAGCCTGGGTATTCCAACCTCACTGTCTACATTCCAACCATCTTTGAACCTAGCACTGTAGCCAATGTTTATGAAGTTGAAGCGTTCTAAGAAATGGAGCTACATATCAGATATAACCTCTTCCACAGGCTCCCATGCCCCAGTTTACTTCTATGAGTTTCAGCATCCGCCCAGCTTCTTCAAGAAACCCCCCAACGTGAAGGCTGACCATAGTGATGAGATTCCCTTTGTCTTTGGATCTTCCTTCTGGGGCAGCAACAGTGAGTCTTTCTTCTTCCCTGGGAGCTGGGTCCCTGAGGTGATTGTCCTCACTATCCACATCAGGAAACCATGGCTGAGAGAGAGGATAGGATCCATGTTACAGCTGAAATGTGAAATGTTAATATTTGGACCCTTTCTCAAGTAGCCTGGGCTCTGTTCACTTGTTTCCATGTCATGTATGTATGGTAGTCATGTATGGTAGGCAGGTTTTAAAAGGTAGGATTGTTCCTAAATGACCTCCCAGAGCAAAGAGAAGTCTTGTAGGCTAGAAATGAGCCAGAGATAGACACAGCTAGCGGGGATGAGTAATGCAAGTTGGATATTGGGAAGGGCCCTGCTCTGGAAGTAGGGGAGACATGATGACCAGGCCTGGTTTTCAGGGTCAAGCACAGATGACTGATGGGGATTGGCCAAACCTGAAACCTTGTTCTCTGTGCAGTTGACTTCACTGAGGAGGAGGAACTACTGAGCAGGAGGATGATGAAGTACTGGGCCAACTTTGCTCGGAATGGGTGAGATGACACTCCCACACCAAGCTCTCTAAGGTGGGCTCCACCCAGAGCTTCCCTTGTCTGTGGTGGCCTCATTAGCATATATGGGTCCTTCATCACATGAAAGTTCCATCTCTAGACAGGGTCCATTGTGGGTGCTGGTTACTGTGTCTTGCTCCAGTAACCTAAAAGATGGAGTCCAGTTCTGTGGAACAATCAAAGCTTGCATGAATGAGATAGCACTGTGAAGACAATAGTAGTGATCCTTGCATTCCAGAATCAGAAGTTT